AACCTTAATAATGGAATGCCACATTGAATGATTATGCTCTATAAGAAGAATATTTTCTAATTTAGAAACGTTCTTTAGCGAAGCTCGCCTGCAATGCTTGTTTACAATTTACAGTGATGAAAAAAGCAGATTGTGTTGGTCATTTATCCAACACCGAAAGTAAAATTTGCTTTTCAGCCATAGCCATGTCAACTGGAATCCCAACCTGGAATCTGAACCATATGAGCAGCCATGAACACTTCTAGGGCATAGTTAAACCGAGTGTGTTCAACCAAAATCAAAACAAAAATGAGGAGAATCAGTTTAGCTCCAATTTCTCTGTATCACAACCAATGGCCTTTTGGTTCTGGCCACCTGCCGGGCGTCTCAAAGGTCCAGCTGTCGGGTAAGCAGAAAGCATCCCAGAAACACTGATCAGCCTCCGTAAAGCCAGTGGGCGTGCTGAGGGCTTAATCAAAGTGAAATCACGTACTTGCTGACAGTTGAGACATGCAGGACCTGAAGGAGCGAACCTGAGACATCATGTTCCTCCCAGAGACCCCCACCGTACTTTATAGGTCGCCATCATGTTGAGCTGAACGTGCATGTTTCTGTTGGATTCCTTGTAATTATCACCAGTCGCTTCGCTCATGCAGCAACTAACCGCTGCTCGCGTTCCTCCATGCATTTAACCGCTAAGATGAGAAAAGCCACACAGACCAGCACGGACACCGAGGCAGAGAGAGAATCAAATACAAGGTGAGGATCTCCAGTTTTCTGATGGCCGCGGCCGGGTTTTCTGTCGGAAGTCTAAGTGGGCCTCAAGAGGCGTCCCTCGGCAGCAGATAGATCACCGTGACGGGCGACTGCATCGGTTCCCCCGTCGTCCCTTGATCTCATAAAGCAGCATCTGAGAGGACCGTCCGCTCGGACGCAGCGCGTTTAGTATCCTCACCTCCCCTGTGTACAGGGTTGACCAGTGAACAGAGAGGCGCTGGGCCCCGCGCCAGCTTGTAGGAGATCCAGGCGTTATGGCCCCGAGTCAGCGCCACCGCCGTCACCTTAGTAACCAGGTGACCCGCGTAGGCGGAGCGGCGACATCCTCTGGTGAGAGAAGGGAGGGCCCATGACAGCGGAGGAGGGAAAATAACAGCGGGGGGCATTGTCGTCTCTGGTCCAGGATAAAAACATGGACAGGGTGTTGCTGCTGAGAAAGCGGGAGAAGCCCCTGAGTCCTTGGCCTGAACCTGGATCTGAAACACCTTTTCAAGTTTCCATAGCAAAACGAGTGCGAGCTAGATGCTGCCGGTACGCGAGTTAAGTCTAAACATAAAGACCCCAAGACGAGACAGAAACGTCCTGCACTTTAGTGTCCAAGATAGAGTAGGAGATTTTTGCGTTTTCACCAAAATCCAGATCAGATGCTGATACTGAGTACAGTATAGAGCCTGGCACCCCATTCTCTTTTAAATACACATTATAGAAGGGCTGGGTGAATAAAGGGCGGTTATCATTCACATCAATGATGCTGACAGGTATACTTCTCTTACTGGACAGAGGAGGGGAGCCCGAATCAGTGGCTGTTATCTCAATATTATATTCTGAGAAACTCTCTCGGTCTAAAGCACCACTTGTAACCAGTGCGTAATTATTAGAAAAGGATGGTTTAAGACTAAAGGGAAAACCCTTGGCGAGTTTCAACGTCACTTTACCGTTATTTCCGGAGTCATGGTCCTGTGCACTGATTAAGGCTACAACCGTGCCTCTCGCTGCATCTTCACGTACTGGGTTTGGGTTTGAAGTGAGAACTATTTCTGGGGCATTATCATTAATATCTATTAGTGTAACTTGCACACGACAGTGGCCTTCCATCTCAGGAACGCCTTTATCTCTTGCAGTAATATCTATTTCATGCATTTGATTACTTTCATAATCTAATGGGCCTACTAAAGAAATGTCACCTGTGCCCGAGTGTAAATGAAAAATTGACAATAATGCCTGTGGTGTGTGCTCAGCAAATGCATACGCGATCTCCCCATTAACACCCTCGTCTGCGTCTGTTGCTTCAACTTTTACAATTACAGAACCAGCGACATTATTTTCATGTATAGTTACATTATAAAAAGGCTTTTTGAAAACTGGGACATTGTCGTTGTTGTCAAGTACAGTGACAACGATTTTTGTGGTTCCCGTTTTAACAGGATTGCCTCCGTCTAAAGCTTCCAGTAATAAAAGATGGACACTTTGTTTCTCTCTATCAAGCGATTTTTCTATTACTAGCTCTGGAACTTTTCGATTACCAGACAACTCTTTTATCCTTAAACTGAAACACTCATCTTTACTTAAGGTATAAGATTTTACCGAATTACTACCAACGTCCTGATCTTGTGCTGTTTCTAAAGGAAAGCGACTGCCCGTGGCAGTAGATTCTGCTATCTTTAAAGATCTCTCCTCTATTGAAAAAATGGGAGAATTGTCGTTGATATCCCTTATCTCTACTTCGATCCGATGTAGCTGTAACGGATTCTCTGTTACAACCTTTAAAGGCAAAATGCAGCTCGCGCTTTGTCCACATAAAGCCTCTCTGTCTATTCTGTCATTCACCACCAGCTCGCCTTTCCCCGCATCCACACTGAAATACTGCTCACCAGCCTCAGAGGAGAGACGAAGCTTACGGTCAAAAATCTCTGACAGTCCGAGACCCAGATCTTTGGCTAGATTTCCTACCAAATAGCCCTGTTTTAGTTCCTCCGGAATGCTGTAACGAGTCTGTCCGTTTATTGTACTCCACAAGAAAAAGAAATGATGCCACCAAAGCGCCTGCCATCTCCAGTCTCGGTATCCTATTGTCTTTGTCATCCTTGGTCTGTCACAATTCGTTATTTTCCATCAAGGTATTCATCAGCACAACCCAGCATTTAAAGCCATCATCAGAATGGACACTCCAATATAAATAGATCCGTCAAAAAATATTAATGAAATAAATATATATTCCGGACGCCTTCGATGAGCACATCTCCTCCTTAGCTCTGAGCACTGTGAAGTTTACCGTGGTGAGACTGAATGGGGGATGGAGTAGATCTCTTTGTACAGTCCTGTTCGTTATTGGCTCATCGCTAGATTGGTTCTAGCCAATCACAAAGACTTAACTCTGCACATACAGCAGCTGCACCCCCTCAAGGTTGCAACGCATTTTGACAAATGTAACATAGGGAGTCATATTTTTTTGATAACAATATTCATAGTTTTATCATCTGAGTTTATACTTTTTATTTCCTACAGATATCTTTACAGAATATAATAATACCCATCTTCAAATAACAAATTACAATTCCGATTCTGCTGTACCTTTTTCGTTATCGTTGCTGCCAACCAATTAAGATTTTACTACCAATACATTTAAAAATGTTCCAATTTAATATGAATAATTTAACAAATTAAATTCACAAGTTAATACAAATTGTATAAGGCAAAAGCAACAACTTATGTAAATAAAAACATATAGTGCATGTTTACTGAAAATAAATGTGTGATCATTTGAGTCGGCCAGTCAGAGTATATTTTACATAATAACTCTCTCAGTAAAACAAATAATATTGATCCTCATAAATTGTTATTTTTATTATAATTGTTATTATCATTATTATTGTCATTATTATTATTATTATTATTACTATTATTCATACAATTATTAACATTACAGGCTGCATATGAAATCCACAAGGCAATGATGAATGACAATTACTGGAAGACGGTCTACTGTTATCTGCTCGCATTTGACTTTACGACCAGATTTACTTTCCATGGCCTTGTAAAAGGGACATTTCATAATCAACGTATAGTACGACAACATATCCAGTACATGTAATCAGTTAAAACAGGGATACGTTTCTTGGTCTAATGTTTATTTATTTTGGTCCCTTAAGGATTTCAACAACAATGTGCCCTGTATGCCCCATGAGTCGTTGTCGCTATCCATTCCTGTGGTTCTGAAACGATCAGCTCTGTAGGCCTTTCAACACCAAACACACTATTCAGGTCAAACTTCAATAGCCACTGTGGCACAAAAGTTACACAGTTTGAGTTATATATGAATTTGATATTTACATTTACATTTCAAATACATCGACTTCCATATCCAGGATTTTAAGGATATATTACCTTGTTATAAGGATAAGTCAAATAGGTGCTTTCTTTGCATTTACTGAATCTTAATAGTCATAACAATTGTATAAGCCCTTGTTTGTCCTAATCACTGCTCACCTGCTGGCTCTCAAAGGTCCACGTGCTGTCGGGTAAAGAAGCATCCAGAACACTGATCACCTCCGTAAAGTCAGTGGTGCTGCTGGGCTTAATCAAAGTGAAATCACTGTACTCTGACATTGGAGACATGCAGGACCTGAAGGACTGACTCTGAGACATCATGTCTCCTCCCAGGACCTCCACNTTTATTACAAATATTGTTATAGGAAGCAATGTATTAACTAGCAAGGAATCTCCCCAGTCTCTAACGTAAAAAGTTTTAAGGGGTTGTCATAGTTTTGTTTTGTCTGTATTTATTTGTGTTTTTGAGGTCATGTAGTGAAAAAATGCTGTTTAAATGTCCTTTGGAGATCTTATGGGCTTATTATACTAGAAATAACTCTCTTTTTGATATTATCTTCCTTTTTCCTTTTGCTTTGAGTCACGTTTTATAAGCAGCACTCCAGTTTGTGTGTTTGGTTCTCTGTGCGTGTGTGTGTTTGTCCCCTGCAGCATTTTATGCTCCACAGCTTTCGGAACAACATGGATGCCTGAGCATACAGATATTTGTTTCCAACTGTAACCCTTTGTTGAACCTCAAGCATAGAGACACAGAAAATATTTTATAAATCACAGACAGACACACGACATACACCATCACACACAAATGTGTCGACCACAAAGAAACATCTTGCAAACCAAAAGTTACACCTCAAAACCGTCCTGCTATGTCCCAATGAAACACATGACTCATGTTGCAACTTCTGCTCTCTTCACAGCAAAAGCCCCCCAACAATGACTGGCGCTTCACTCAGGGACAGAGACCCGGACCTAGTGGGTGAGTAAACTGAGACACACACAACCACACAGTGATAAGATGCCCAGTAAAGTCAAGGACATATTATTGTGCTGCACAAGGCAAGCTTATCGTAAAGACTGAGAGAGTGATGAAGGATGAGGAATAAAAACAGGAGGGGGATGGTAGTGAGTGCTGTGACCATAATACCTCGCTGCCTGCAAAGAGCTGATTGTAAAATACTGAAGAAATCAAAGTCAACCATTTCAATCTGATTTTGAAAAACATTGTAATGAGCATTTTATAGCATGACCTGCTCAGTGAATTCAGATTCCCGGTTTAGTCTCCTGAATGAGCATCTCTCTGATTTCAGGCTGCTTTATAAAATGGCTGCCGCAGCTTCCACTCCCCTCCCCCTCCCCTCCCGTTCCTCTCCTCTCTGCACTCTCTGAGCCTGTGCACCATCACTCTCAGTACTACTGATGAGGGACTGTGACCAGAGCTACTGGGGGGGATGGGATAGTGTATTTATCCTTCTTCAGCGCTCTTCATTTTCTACCATCTGAGATGTCGTTCTGACTTGCTTAATTGACAATACATGAAACATGTTTCTTTAGTTCACTTGTGTGTTTTAGTGAGAGTGTTCTGTATGTCGATGGTTGATGATAGCTATTTGCCCATATTGTGTGGGCTAAAATTGAGTTTTCCCAACAATGATTGCACAACACATTCTATGAGTCAAGGCTTCTCCCTGAAACATACCAGCTGGGCAAAACGCTCTGATGAGCCAAGTCAGGAAAATGTTAGAGTCATAGACACACACACACATCACAGTCATTCTAGAATTCCACTGGGGTAGGAGGAATACATTGGACATACTTTATCTCAGTGGTGGAGAAATAGAAAACTGTCTTCCCATTGTTTTTTTTAATAGATATGACAGACTCAACATACAGAGATCTAGAGCACAAAATCTCAACATTTTCCTTTTTCTTACCTCCATTCTGTATAACTTGTTGTGTTTCTAGTCCCCACATGCCATACGGTACACACATACGATGGACGCCGAAGAGTGGGACAAGGTACTAATTTAGATGTAGACATGTTATGGTCATTTTCTGTCCTTATGAGCTGATCAATGTTTTTTGTCAAGTCACTGTTGGGGGAAAAAGGGACCTGAACACAAATCAGCTGATAAGGGCAGAGAGTGGCTAAAATATTGTAGGTAGTGCACTGAAGTTGAGTGCTGTGCTGTGTGTAGATGTACCTAACCAATAGCTTCTGTTAGTCTCCCTGAAAGTTTGATGGGGTTTGTTGATCGATGTGCATAGGCCACAATGCCTGCTGTGGCGTAGAAAGGATTGTGAAACTTTGGATTTTTTGCGTGCAGTGTTTTGTAGAATTGTTATGCCTTTTATGTGTGCTATACATATAGTCATTATACTCTGAGAGCACTTGTTTTCTCTCCTTCTTGGAGACTGACCTACCGTACAGTGTTGCCTTTGATGTATGTCTGTGATGGTTGTAGCTCAACATCACCACATGTGGCTTTTTCATGTGATTGATCAACAGCAGACAGCAATAAAGAGACCATACAGACAGCTGTTCCATCATTGATTTCTTTAAAAGCTGGTTGGATGTAAAAAGTTTCTCAATGAAGTAAACAGCAGGTACACACTGAGACTGGCTGAATGGGCCTGAAATAAGTTAAAGTCCAGAAGGTTCTCCACCAAACAACAAGGCAAGCCATCCTTGGAAATAAAACATGTCATGTTAGGTTGCAGAGGAAACACATGGTCCTGTCCTGCTAACCAAGGACAACCATCTGGATCACAGTTTACAATCTTGCCCACAGGAAGTGATAATCCTAACCACAGGAAGTGCTTGACACAACCGCAGGATGTGCTAAGTAGAGAGTTGATCATTTAGCTTAAATGAAGCATTCCTATTTATCATAAGTGATGTGAAGTGCCACAAAATGGCTTCCCTGGCTTTACTGACCTTGCTCGTACCAAGCCTGTCTCATTGGCTGCCTGCTTCTCTGCTTCAGTCTCTCTCTGGCACCAAACTACAATCCACTTCAGAGTTTTGGCAGTAAGATCTGGCAACCTGCTCTTTAACAAATCCCTGTTTTATGTTAGAATTCCTTTCCCTTTTGCCTTATTGTGTCCTTTACTTTCTCTTAATTCCCTCGAGCAGAGCAATTTGTCAGTTTCTTTTCATTGGTTTTAAATAGAAAAGAGAGAGTTCTTCTTTATCTCACATTTATTCAACATGCCATCTATATATATATGTATACATACAGACCTGTATTCTTCATATATTACTACAGCCTGTGTTTGTCAGAGAGTAGGAAATGAGACCTTGATATGTCTTTTTTTCCTTTTTGGAGCTGTATCTTTTACCCATGTCCCTGTGGGTTAATGATCTTCCACTAAATGTGCAGGTGGTTTGTTATTACCAAAAACAGTTAAACAACCAATGTATTAAACACACAAATTAGGAGGTCAAGAGATTAGTAAAATTGTTCTTGCTCGAGATTATTTTTGTGTGACTCCTGCTGGTCTTCTAATAAAATGAAGTGACGTTTGTTAGTTATTTATTGTGACACAGTTTGTCAGTACAATGATTGTAACATAATGCAGTGCAGTGACCAATCAAACTACCATCTTAAAATCCAAACGGGGCTTTAATCAACACATTGGGAACAGGAGCAACGGGGGGTATTAAAGTATTGTGACCGAGTTGTTAGTTGTACAGCTTGTGTTGGTGTGGGAATGGAAACAAGGTGAGCATAATACTGCGCAGGTCTGCTTTCTCTTTTGTTGCCCCCACATGCACATCGCAGACTTTAAATAAACAAGCCTTTGAAGGTGAGGTTTGCCCAGATGGAAATGTTCAGTGCCTACTGAGCACCACATGTCTGACTATGCAGACAGCTATTTCCTTCAAAGGTGGGACCAATAAATATTTAATCAGATTTACTAGAACACGCAGAGCCCATGGACACACCGGAGAGAGAGTGTGAACATTGTACTATGTTAACTGTGTTCGAATGTGCAAACACGCTTGCTACTGTGTGCAGACAGACAAAAGTGTGTTTAAGTGTGTGTTTGTTTGGGACACACCCTGTTTTGTGAACTATACATCATTATTGCTATCCTTGCTGACTTTCCCTCAGGCTGTGTACTTTGCCATCAGCTGCTTTACATCATGAACCACAAACTGCCAAACCTTAGCTAAACACTAACACATTATGGAGGACAAATGAATAGTTATTCACAGTTGCTCTCTCCTCTTTTTTCGCCACAGTGCAACCGGAGGACCCGAGGTTGCCATGGGAACTGGCCCCTGGCCCCAGCCCCCAACTGAGGCTGAGCAGCTCCAGGCCCTGATGGCTGCAGCTAACGGTGAGTCCTATACCTCGTCATCTTTTTCCTCCCTACTATCGATTATTCTCTTCTTTTCCGAACCAATTTATATCTCTTCACAAGCTTAGTGAGGGTGCGTGGGCAGAGTTTCTTTATTTAGGTTCCTGTTTGGTTGGAGGGCAACTAGCCAGCCTCGCTCATTGATAAAGCTCTCCCGGTCCACATTGATGTTTCCGTGTTGTGGTTGTGTGCTGTTAATTATCCAGAGGATAGTCAGACAGTGGACGTAGGTACCTGCAGTCCCTCAGATACACAATACTGTGCTTGTGTTTCATTTAACAACCTTCAGAGACGCATGTTTCCACTGTACACACTGATGACATGCACAGTGTTTTATAATAGGCAGAAGGCTATAGAGCTACATGGCTCATATATTATTTGAGATTCCCAAATCACAAAATGTCCTCTTTCCACTGCCCTATTTCGCAAATGTGTATTCAGCACTAAGGGGGGATACACAATGATATATCTTTGGGCTGAAACTGTGGAATCCTAAGTCAATAACATGGAAGAATATACATTAAATTGGTGTTGAAAGAAGGCTAAGCAACACCACATAGTGACAGTCAAACACAACAAACACAGATATGACAGAGGGACAAACTTGACCATATGTATTACTAAATAGACTCAAGTCATTGTTTCCACTTTAATTTAAACCACTGACACACCTCCCTCTACACCCACACAATAACACCCTCCCCCTCTTGGACACTGCACCGGACGTTGTGTGGAATTCTTCTGTCAGAGAGAGGGACAGAAAAAGGCATAGTGGTAAGCTGCGTGTCAGCACAAATGTAGACAAAGTGAACAGTTATATTGTCATCATTAAGGGAAGACAAAACAGTTATACATACTGAACGTCGTCTCTCTTCTACACTTACTGTCACTGTGTTGAAGCGCAATGCAGGAGTAATCCTGCAATGAATTGACAAAGCACTGTGTGAATGCAGACAGATTATTAAATTGTGTTTTCAGTCACTTGCTTTGGCTCTTTGGAAGCCAGTAAGCATGTCTGTTTTTAGTGTTTATATAGGCTGAGAGGAGCCACAGGATGGGGGAGGGGGCCTTCGTGTCTCAGGCTCTGCAATGCAGGGGCTGTGGGAGAATTATGAGCCGAACAGCTACGTCATGCGCACACACACTCAAGCCATGTGAGATAGAGACACAGAGGAGGATGCAGGAGAGACGTTTCCTCATCTATGTTAAGAAAAAAACATCTGCACACAATCAGCCATTGTGTAACACCTCTTGTGCCTCTTTTTAGTTGAGCCCACTGCAACCTCATGTTTTGCCTAAGCAGCAGGATATGTTTAACTTTAAATCAAATGCAATTTCTCTGTAATCAAATACCTTATCTTGTAGTTGAACCTCCTTTTACGACCTATTTCCATTTCTATCTTTTTATATACTGTCATACTAAAACTTTCACATTCTGGTTGTCTAACAAATTTCATCCCTCTCTCCTCTCCCTCCTCACCCCTTATTCCCCCCACTCTGTCTCTCTTCCCCCTAGAAGTGAGCGAGGCTACGGCCACCCTGGGACCCGGCACCATGGGCCTGAGCACCCGGTACAGCCCGCAGTTCACCCTGCAGCACGTGCCTGACTATCGCCAGAACGTCTACATCCCCGGTAGCACGGCCACCCTCACCTCAAACCCCCAGCAGCAGCAGCAGCAGCAGCAGGCCACCGCCCAGCAGGCAGCCCAGCAGGCGCTGCCCCCGGCCCAAATGGCGGCCCAGATGTCGGCCCAGATGTCGGCCCAGATGTCGGCCCAGATGTCGCCCCAGCCCGAGCCCCCCAAGGCCGCCCAGACCCCAGCCTCCAAGAAGAAGTCCACCAAGAAGGAGAAGAAGTAGAGTTCGATGGAGAGAGATGGAGGAAAGATAAACCCGGCCTGATCTGATGAGAAATTCAACCCCCCGTACCCCCCCCTCCCTCCATTAGGTATCTTACTGCTCTGCTGTCCCTCTTGTTAGCCACGGTCTAACTAAACAGCAGCACCTTTGACCACGTGGACTTTGGATGGATGTTGATGGTTCTTTGAAAGTGTCTTGAATGTGCCGAAGGCTATTGTTGGTGTTGATTACCCGTGCTGTGCTAAAGGTCTAGTATTGCTCACATAATCTTTGTCAGTAGATAATTTTGGCAGGGTATGGGGGGGTTATTGTGGTTTTTGTTTTTGTTTTGGCAAATGATCTTGGACATAGAGATTCAGTGTAAGTAACCTTGCTGGGATTACAAGGCTATACGCAGTGATGTATTCAGAGATGAAATGTTAATGTCTTTCATGTTGGATTTATTGTGCTCTTTCCCACGGCGGAAAGACGGCTATTGTAAAGTACGCTAGTTGCCATCCATTAGATTCCTATATAGGATCAGCCTTGCAGGATCTTAAATCATAAGTCCTGATGATATAAGGCTGTTGTTTGACAGGTATTACAAACTCTTCTGCATGCTCTTTAAGGTTCAAACCACATATACTAGTTTAGAGTTGCAAACTATGCATTTCAAAAGCAAAGAGGAGGACATCCTAAATCTGTTATCCTCCCACCAATCGCATGTCAATAGAATGCACATGTAGCATTTAATTGACTCAAAACAAAAAAAAAACGTTTTGTAATCATAGTTTAAGAAAAATAAGATTTGAATCTCCTGATATTTGTATGACCAGAGCATGCACCCACAGGACGGGCAGGGAGAGGGTGGGGCGGCATGGTGTTGAGTCACCAGCCATGCTGTCCTTGCTGGTAGCAGTGTGTCTTATATAACACCAGATGGGCATAAACATGTCCTGCTGCCCTGCACCCTTTAGCCTCCCCCCTCCACACCCAGATCCTGTCCTCCCCTCACTCACTTCCCCATGTTGGGAGCCAAACAAAGAGAAATGCACTGATCGTAATTTGAAGATGAGATGTAGGGGTAGTAATCACTTCGTTCTTTTGGGAAATGCATAGATGTGGTAAACTTAAGTTCTTAGGAGTCCCTGGACACTTTGCAGGAGTATTTACCCCTCACACTCTCGAAGTGTTGAAGAAACTTCTTGATGTGACGCAGAAAGATTTGTTTTTCTTTGGGAGATTTAATAGCATAGAGGAATTGTTTGTTTTATGATATGAAGTCTTTACTTTGCCGTCCATCTGTCTGTCAGGCTTCTGGCCGGATACAACTGCATGAGAAAAAGGCAGATTGCAGGTCAGGGGGAGTGGAGGGGAAGTGGTGAGGGTTACACAGACTCGGTGGACCCCATTACATCAACTGGGTGGGGGGAACAACTTGGCTCTACCCACTGAATGTACAGAGGAACCACTGTTGATCTGTCCTTCTCTTAAACTTTCTCTAATGCACTGACCCAGGTAGAGGTCAACAGAGCCAAGCACAGCTGTCCCTGTTGGTGAGGAGATACCACTCGAGAGCCCTTTTGTAAAAAAAAAACCTCAATTAAAATCACCGTAGCCTCTGTACCACTCACCCCTCCCCTCACCCCCTAGTCCTGCGAGGATCTTCCCCACTGTAAATAAACACAAGCCCTGTCGATGGTATGAGCCAGTTGTTTGTATAGTAGGGACAACATCCAACATTTTCAAAATAAAAGTCCCTCTCCACAAGGCGTGGCTTACTACTGGAATGTGTTGCATTTTGTTTTTCAAGAAAAATAAGAAAACCAAAGTTACAAAAAAAAAAGAATCAATAATGAATAAAAATCTGAGATGTTCTTCAACAGTTTGTGTTGCAATGTAGTAACTAAGCACCATGGAAGCCAACTAACTCTTCAGTGTAAATAAATAATGAAAGACATCTTTAGATAAGTAAACAAAGTGACACACGTAGACTAGTTAACTTGTGATATGTGTCGCGCATATTTTTGTGTTCATTTTCTCTCTACTATATTTTATCACCCTGTAAAGAAACAAACAAAACAAAAAAAATATGGAAATGTTTCTATCCTTCTGTAACCTCTTAATGTTCTTTTGCGGTGACCTTTTCTTGTGCATTTGTGAAAGAATGCCTCTCATTCTCTTTCTGTCCATATGAACAAATGAGTATAAATATTATATATGTGTCCGTCCGCTGCTGAATTAATACTATTCTATCCTGCTGTATTATCTTTCTTATCAAATGCTTATCCCCCACGCTATACCCCTGTGTTACTCTCTTATTTTTATGCTAATATTTATATTGCTGTTTTATTTTCTCTTGAACACTGACATTTCAAATAAAACGATTCTGAAATCATTTAAAAAACAATACTTGTGTGTGTTTGTGTTATGCTTATATGTGTAGGTTTAGCAGACTACAGTGTGTGTGAGTTAACATGTTGCACCATACATGGCTAATTAATGAGACTCAGCTGTGAAAAGCATCAGATGCATTGTGCTCTTTTCTTCCGCTTGTTGTCTGTGACCCATATTCAGCAGGACTGCAGCCCTACTACATTTTCCCACAAAGCTTTGCTCTCTCCGTCGTCCATTTCAGGTGATCCATGCTCTGTGTAGATAAAAGGGAGTAAAAAGAAGACTCAATCAATGAGGGCACAAGATATCATTTCTAATTAAATAACATCAACTTGACTGCTGTCCCCTTGTCGCATGATAAAAGGGAATCATTAATTGGAACACTTTATTGCTATGCTTCCGGTGATAACATGATTCACAACAATAAACAACAAATCTACTTAATGAGTCTAATTAATCTACAAAACCTCATTAGAGATTTAAGAATCACTACGGTAAAATCAATTTCAGTGAAAGCGTTACCAGAAACAGGGAAACAACTTTTATTTTGATTGTATAATGATGTTGTATATCTTTTATGTAGTTCATGAAAACCTAGTAGTACAAATGAGACCTGAAAAAGCCAGTAATGATTTTAAAAAAAAAAACATTTATAACAGAAATAGCCTAAAAGCTGACTTTATATTTTGTGATGTCTCCTATCGTTGAAGAGATGTATGGTAACAAAACATTAAGGAAACTATCTTTACCAAGTGAAATTATTTATACACCTTATTCCACTTGAACTTGCTGTCTCCTCCTTTACCTCATCATACTTTAGAGGGGAGCCACATGTTCTTTAGCTATCCTCTCACAGATCCTGGGGCCACTACAGGGAACATGCCATGGCAGCCTGCTCTGGCCCTTTGTGCCTTTCACAAGGTCTTACACAATAACATAGAAGCTATAAATAGCGCACGGACCGTCACTAAGCAAAACAAAAGGAGCTGGCTTTAACTCACTGCTGCAGATGTTGGGGGATGGAAGGAGGGACAGAGGAGCTGCAGAGATCCAGATGATGCAAGTGATCATGAATCAGGCGTTCACTCCAACACAAGCTAATGGGTTTTTACTGAGTCACTGCCTGAAGATTACACAAGAGCTATGAGAACATACTGGAGCAAATATTATTTTATTCATTCAAAGTATCCACATCTGGTAGCTCACAAACACATATATTTTTCTAATTTATTTTAACTATTATTTTTGATTGACATTAACTTGACAGTAAAAATGTGTTTATATGTTTTTAATGAACTTCTTTATTGAAAACTATGCTAAACTTTTTTTTAGGGTAAAGGACTTTTTATGAAAATGTTTATGAAATACTATGCTATGACCTCTTTTATTAAATGTTTATGCCATACTATATTATGGTTCTGTATGATGAATGTTTTGACATTTGTAGTAATCTTTATGGGAATCTATGCTATTTGATTTTACAAAATAATATAGTTAAACCGGCAAACAAAACTTCAACATTTTCATGACTTATTATGGTAAACATTGATATTTTGTATGACTTTTAATTATGAAATGCTTTACGATGACCGTGAATTATATTGTTTTTAGAGATTCTTTGACTGTCTTTTAATATGATTTTCTCAAAATGGCCGACTCCTCTCGCTCTTCTCTCAAAGTGTTGTGTGGTTACCTCGGCAACTGTCAGCCCTAGCCTCTGGATGCTTTTCTCTGTTCTACACATCTTTATAACAGATCTATGTAGCGGTCATCACTGGCTCCGCTCGGTGCCTAGAGGAACTGAATGACCTGCAGGAAGACAAACATATTCAGCCATTAGTCAAACCTGGCAACCCTGAGAGACATATGCAGGAAACATGGCAGAGCGGAGAAAATCCCACGCAGACACAAGTGGATGAGTCAGAGGCAATAACTATCTGTTGGTTTTTCCCACCTACCTTTACTGGAGATCTGCACCGTATGAGTGTCACTTTGAGATATAACAATCAAAGGAAATTGGACACATGGTTACATTATGCATAATGCATTTTACAAAAGCTTTAGAGTTACTTAGTCAGCTGATGTTCCTCATCCTGTGGCTCAGACACTCCTCCTGTCCTGACTGTCCCCATGTGTCACCGATTTCCTGGAGGGGAGACCCAGCAGAATGGGGAGATTGTTCTTTTACTGCCCCCTTTATGCCCCTCACTCTGTCTCGCTTAATTAAGCACATTCCTGCTGATTATACACACACAGAGTGATACACAAGACAGTGACACACACACAGTCACACACAGACAACAAAAGTTAGCAGTTTTGTCCAAAGAAGACTGAACATGACAATGGACTGCCTGTAGGCGATAATTACATTAGTCAGACCGCTTGGACATGAGAGAGGCTCATCACATCCTGTATGTGAAGCATGGACACAGGCACACTTGTGAGTCAGTAAAAAAGTCAGTTTTTCCAACAAACATTGAAGTGCTGAAAAACACATTTCTTGAATACGTAGTTATAAAATATAATCTTATCCGTCTCAATTTAAGTCAAAATAATGTAGAAAGTGATGCAGATCTGCATTTCCCCTCAGAGTGTGTGAGCTGACAGGAAGGACCAGCGAGAACCATGTAAGGAGACAGCAGGATGTGACGAAACAGCTGCTAGTGGCGGGACAGGATGTGTGGGTTTGGCGCCTCTTCTACTAATTTCTCCCCTCACTCAGTAGTCCAGCAAAAGGAAGGAACCCCCCCCAATACTCCCCCTTTGACTTCCTCTCTTCTTCCTCCCTTTTCCCCCTCCTCCCTCCCTCCCAACATGCAGCTGTCTCTGCAGCGTGTTGGGTCCCCACATGTTGCAGGACAGAGCACTGCTCTGTGGATACACACACACTAGGAACATAGCAGGGATACAGACCAGCTTGATCTGGACTTTGTCAGGGAAAAACCCCTAGCATGAAATGTATACATGTACAGCTCAGAGCCTAAGGCTGAATGTCACACTGAGTGGAGAAAACATCTGGAAGTTTCAGAGACCCAGAAACAGACAGCCGCGGGTTAATTTATCATGTGGTGCAGAGAGAAGGAGACTGGATTGAAGTTCCTTATAAAAAATTAACATTCAGAGAAGGAATTGGGAACTTTCTCTCTGTTGGAAAACTGAGCCAACACTAAAAATACACGCATTCACGTTCATTCATATTGTGTTTTTAAAAATCTTTTACATATTTCACACAATTCCCTGGCCTGTTTTCATTTACTATTACAGCTGAGAGGAATGTGCCCATCAGGCAGACCGAACAGGGAGTTCAGTGGTCTTTGGCTGAAAGAAGAGGCGAGGTCTTTGAGCAGGAACATTGGAGCAATGGAGCCTGAACGTTGCTAAGGCTAACAGCACCCTGATTTAAAGAGACACAGTAATGTGCTGGCTCGACTAAATCACAGAGATGGAGCTGTTGCAATGTGGAAGAACAAAACAATGCTCCCTTTCAACGCAGCAAACCCTTTTTCTCTTCATCTGAAAAGCCCCTCTCTACTCTTTCTCCCTCTCCTCATCTCTGCCAAGAGATTTCGCGCCTGCTTTCTCAGCTGGGAGGATGGAAATCAGACAGGGGGGAGACGGGCAGTCAGGAATGAAGGGGGAAAGACTGACTGAGGCATAGTGAGAGCTGAATTAAGGGTGGAGGAGAAGCAGGGTTGATTCCCCCATTATGACCTGCTGCCATGAGGTTTTAGGCAAGATGAGAGGGAGACGTTTCCCTGTTGGCTTCAGGTTTCACTTGGCTATATGTAACAAGTCAAGGGCCACACGTGCAAAACTAAGCATGCGATCTGCTCACAGGTAATAGCAGAAAACGCCAAATTAAGAGCTATCTAGTTGACTTAAATATGTTCTCTATTCAATCACTGATATAAAACAATGTGTTTTGAGGAGATCAAAAGCTTCCATCTAGTGCAACGTGGTTTGAGGGCATCTCCGACCCCCCACCCCCCCAACACACACACACACAACACACACACCCCCACACACAAAAACACACACACACACACACACACACACACACACACACACACACACACACACACACACACATAAACTACATTCAACAATAACCCCAATCCCTCTTCACAAGCCATGCACCCCATAAACACCCCCTCCCCCAATCCAGCACTGACACACGTGCAGCTTCCACACACCCCCAGCATAGAAAGTGCAGAGTACCTAATCCATTTCCTCCACCGCTGTGGTTGTCATGGAAACGCAAAATTCCCCATGTGAGTGACGAGAGCCGGAATGGTGCAAGGAGGAAAACAGAGCAATGGATGTGTAGGGATGCAACAAAGAAGTCACTAAGCTTTGTGTGTGTGTGTGTGTGTGTGTGTGTGTGTGTGTGTGTGTGTGTGTGTGTGTGTGTGTGTGTGTGTGTGTGTGTGTTCTCTGTGTGTGTGCGCATTCTCAGAGGTTGGATACACTGTGAATGTGCTGCTCCTCAGACTTACAGACTCTGACACAGAGGCATGTCGACAACTCAGCGCCATGGCGACAGGTGTTGCCGCGGAAATGGTGCAGCTGCTGCATGGATATTTCAGGCTAATAAGCGTACACCATCAAGCTCTTCTACGCTGGCTCCCCTCCCCACTCCTCTCCTCCCCTCCCCTCTCTGCTACCAGACAAGCACACCCTGCCTGATTCTGGAGGCTGGAAGGCTGAGGCGAGTCCATCCTTAACATACAACCGTGTTTATTCTGTGTTATTGTATAATTAGCAGGCTGTTTGAACAAAGGAACCATAAGCAGTTGATATAATGATACAATTTTCTAAAGAAACCTGAAACCAAGTCGCTCTATTAAAGTACATGCTAGATGCCAAATCTCAGTCCTTTAATAAATAAAAAAAGCCATTTAAAAAGTATTTGAAAAGAAAACAGACAAAGGTCAAACCCAGAAATATCTGTGAAATAACTGGTATTGTTATACTTTTAGTAGTTATGTTCATGCAAGGCCACACAGCAGAAAT